AGACCTCTATAGTTACTTAGTACTGTAATTCTAGAATAAACATCTCAAAACATTGTTGAAAGTTTTGTTGCCCAATTTAAAAGGTTTCAGACAAAATTTAAAATTTTAACTTTTCTTTTTTGAGGTTCAGATGCTCTTATGCAACATTAAAACTTTTCAAACTCTGTAAGCAGCAATACACTTGTCCTGTTACAGTTCCAAGACTGTGCTTTCTAATAGTTTCTAGTTCAAGAAGGGGGATTCCCAGCAGGAATTCTTTTCCCAGGCCGTTGCACCTTTTTCCTGTTGCCTTAGTGGATTAGAGAGCTTCTCCAAGAATGAAATCAGACGGTTTGTGTAATTATGGGCTATAATTAAATGCCAGCATGCATGCATAATTTGTGTGATTGTTGGCCCTCTGGAAACACATCAACACACCACCCTATTCTCTGTCATCCTATTCACTGTGGAATTAGCTTTGTAAAAATAGCATTTATAAAGAATGTCTCAGCCATATCATGCCAATTATGTTCATATAGCAGCCTGTTACGTTGAGGGATTGTGGGAGTCTTTATACACAATGAGAAAGGGGATCAGACAGCTGTCGTAATACGTGAGGTTCATTCATATGCAATTCATATTTAATGCTAGCGCCAGAGGAGGGAAGGCAAGTTTTATAGCCTTAAAGAATTAGCTAAACCAGCCTCTAGACCAGTCTAGTCTTCAATACCCCAGTGCTCACTTAATAATCTACCTGCTCAGGTTGAGCTGCTGTGTACAGTCGTGATTCCTAGAATATACAGTACATAGAAATGTGAACGTCTCATCGCCTTCCGTGTTTTCTTTAACGTCTGGAACATGAGCAGGATTTTGTCATGAAGTTAATAAACTTGAACAAGTTTGTGTCTGCTTTGTCTCTCCACAAGATGGAATACCTGTGATTTTAAGAGCACAGGACTAGAACCAAAGTCAAATTCCAAAGGCTTCATTTTATTATATATTATATAGAGAGAAGCTTGGTTTTAGAAAAAAATAAGAGAATGAAGAAGGAACATTTTAGAAAGTTGCAACCTGATTTTAAAAGTCGTAACTAGAATTTCAATTTTTAACCCTGATTACTGGTTAAAGTAAATCGCTACATCTCAGTATTTTAAATATAAAAATTGATGCTACACATTGGATACAAATTATTTGAAAGCTCCTTTCAAGAAATGGCTGGATGTGATCTAAAACTAGAAACAAAGTGTCAAGTGACACGAATACCTGTGTCTACAGCTCTGTTTTAGTAAACGAATAGTGAGTTGAATCAGCTTGTATGTTGTTATGGGAGCAGCTCAGGGACCCCAGTACTGACAGAAATTTAGGATAAGGGATTCTTTTGCAACATAGTCAAAACTAAAGGGTCAGACTACAATCGAGAGACAAGATTTCTCACATTTCAGTATACAGCTGTTTTTATGTTTTAAATAGTGTACATTGCAAATATTTGTAGATTTTTTTGTGTCAGAAACTAATTATCCCTTAAACTTTTTTTTCTTCATGATCATAACGATATTTTCCTGCTTTCTCCTTATAACTAGGTATCGCTCTTCATAGCCCACTTTACCATTTGAATGCACCCAGTGTTTTTAAAACGTTTGTGGGGAATGACCAGCCATCAGTGCAGTATCCATTTTAATGCTTGGATCAACGTGGAATCAGAGAACACATACTGTACTCCCTAAGGACAACAGTAAATATCGCTAATAAAGTCAGCAATGTAATGAGAAGCCAAAGATCTCGCTGAGCTCTTTCTCTAAAAGAGTATTTCCATGAATGCCACATTGCTTGAAACTTGTTTTGGGACAGGGCACAAACAAAGAACGTAGCACAAAAATCTGAAAAAAAGCGGATATCCACTTTGGAATTCAGAAAATGTGGGAAGCATAAAAGCCACAGCACAGAGTGGCACTGAGGGAGGACAGAAAGAAAAACATTTCAGCGCAGGACTTGGATAAAAGACAAGTGAGAAACGTCATGTGAGTGCAAATAAAAAGATCAAAGATCCCAGAGGGAGGCTAGAATTCCATATTGGGCTGCTTCTTTACCGAATCAGCGCATTCTGCTTAATGAGAGTGTCACAGTCATGCCATTTTCGGTAGAATGTAAATGGACTTTGGGGCAAGCTCTAAGAAACAATAAAGCCTAGAATGACTTCCAAATTATTAATCCGGGTTAAGAGGATTGCTTTGGCCTGTGTTGTATTTGGTCATGGCTTGGAGATAACATCCCCTCTGCTGTTGAAGTACTGTGGTACTGTTGAACAACAGTGATTGTACCGTCGTCTTCAATGCATAAAAGAAACACAACAGTCCAGTCGACTAGATTCAGTATGATATTTTAGATATAGATTTGAAGCAGGGCAGCATGATGACGCAGTGGTTAGCATTGCAGTCTCACAGTGCTGGGGCCCTGGGTTCAATCCCAGACCTGGGATGCTCTCCCTGCATAGGAATGGGTTTCCTCTGGGTGCTCCAGTTCGTTCCCACAGT